TATTTAAAAAAAATCTATTTATTTTAAGAATAAATCTATCGATTAAGTTTCAACTCTCATGAACATTATTGTTAGATTAATAATATAATAATAATTTAAAAAAATTCCACTCGTTATATAGCTCACAATAGAAGATACCTACAACTCCTACTTGAATCAAATAAAGGTAAGAAAAATATATTAGTATCTCATTTATAAATTAAATAAATACAAAATGCTTAAAAAGTTTACGCAGAAAGAAAAGTGAAATCAAGCCTGAAAATTGTGGCATTATTGGAACGAAGAAAATTTGAACAAGATCGTCAAAGAAAATTTGGGCTTGTGTTGTTACATAGTAAACTTGAAAGCACTAACTACAAATTAACCATCGCAAAGTAAAATAAAACATAATTTCTCTAATATAAAAGATAAAAAACCCTAAACTTGAAAGCACTAACTACAAAGAAAAGTTCTACACATTCCGAAATATGTTCCGAAACATATTCCGAAACTTAAAAAAAATAATTTAAATTATAAAATATTAAATTAAATTATTATTTTATAATAAATTTATTAAAAAATATGAATATTTTATACATTCAGACGCTGTTTCGGAATTTCTCTTCATGAAGCAATTCTCAACTACAAATTATACGGAACTTTTGAGATCCATAGATGGCACATCTTTCATCTAATTTTTAAATAGATAACATCATTTTAACTCTTATTTTTTATTTAATTTTAACCCCTAAATTATATATTAAATATCGTGTATATTGTAATTTAAAAAATATACTAACTTCAAGAAATAATTTTAAAAATAAATTAAAAAATTATTATTTTTAAAATTAGAGAATAATAAAAAAATTTGTAAAAAGATAAAATAACGTATGTAATTAAAAAATGAAATTTATAAAATATTAGTTGATTTTTATTTTTATTTTCTCTTACTTTAACGAATTACTTTATTTTAATGGAGGTGAATAATTTTTCCTAAATTTCTTATTTTTAATTAAAGTAAGACTTAAATTTTTCTGGATATATTAAATTCCTGCCACCTGTATGAATGTAAAAGAAACTATCCAGAATGGTCGAACATATGTTTGATCGTATCCTCTTAGCATGAAAAATAAATAATAGGCGACTCAACCAACTTTGCCCATTTTTCTGTCCGTTACACTTATGCAACAAAAAACAAGTAATCTAAAAGAAGAAGGAAGAAGCATAACTCACCTCGTGGTCGTGCTGATGGGAAGTTGACAGGTGTTAAAGTCTGAAATATTATATTAAGAGAATTTCTATGGTACCCTCTATAAAAGAAGGGTACCGGTACTGTCGATGACGTGTAAATTTAAATTATTTATAATTTTTTTAATTATTTAAAATCTACATCCACGTCAGTTATATGAAATTTTATTGTTAATATTAAACGTATGCATTAATTTCCTTACGAGATTCTTTCGGTAGTTCCTTTCTTTCGTAACAATTTTCCATCTCAATGAAGAAGAAGAAGAAACCTTCACCGTCCCACCAATGACACCAAAAGGAACACGTCTTTGCCGACAGACTCTACTCCACGCGCGCCGCTTTCGGCGGCAAGGCGCGTCACATCCAGATCGACTGCGGCTACCGGGACCCCTCCCGCCTCTCTTTCATCTTCGACGGGGAGACGGTTTTCCAGATCAAGCGCCTCAAGTGGAAGTTCAGGGGGAACCAGCGTGTGCAGGTCGACGACGTCCACGTGCAAATCTCGAGTGGGACATTTACAACTGGCTATTCCACAACCACAACAACAACAACAACGCGCATGCTATCTTCATGTTCAAGTTCGAGCAAGACGACGACAAAGATAGGAACTGAAATTTGGGGGCTTGGGAGTGCAAAAGGGGAAAGAGTTGGTCCTCTTCTTCCACTGGAAGCTTCTCCTCCGCTACTTCCTTCGGTGGAACCTCCTCCGTCTTGGAATGGTCCAATGTCGAGGAGAGGGGAGGGGAGTGAGAGACGGAGGGGTGAGGGAGAGGTGGGAGACGGAGGGGAAAAAAATCGTATAATTATAAAAATATTAATAAAAACTTAAAAAAAATAATGTAAAAATTTAAATATAAAATAATTATTGTTTAAAAGGCTGACATGACATTTGACATAGTATTTAAATGATATGTACGTACACATCATCGACACGTCATCGACTGTACCGATACCCCTCATTTATCAGGGGTACAGAAGCAACCCCCTTATATTAATAGGTAGCGAAGAAATACAAAAACATTAATGTCCAAAAATAGAGGCGAAGGAGAACAAAGAGAACGAAGCAGAGGCCAATGGCATTAGCTTCCGTTTCTAGCTAACGCAACCACAATATTTATTCCAATCGGTTTCGCCGCCGATGGAGTAATAATGCGGTAACGCCGTTCCGTAACGTGATAGCGAGCGTTTGCAGATTCCGCGCGCTTAGCGTCATTCAACAACGCTCCCTATCACTCTTCCATCAATGCCTCAAAAACGGGACAACGTGGTGTACCTCCACGGCACCCTCGATTTGGTCATCGTGGAGGCTCGCTTCCTTCCCAACATGGACATGCTCTCCGAGCGCATTCGCCGCTTCTTCTCCGCTCTCAACACCTGCAGCACCTCCATCACCGCCAAGCGGAACAACCGCCACAACCGCTCCCGCCACCGCAAGATCATCACCAGCGATCCCTACGTCACCGTCTGCCTCGCCGGCGCCACCGTCGCCCGCACTCGCGTCATCTCCAACTCCCAGAACCCCTCCTGGGAGGAGCACTTCAAGATCCCGCTGGCGCACCCCGCCGCGCAGGTGGAATTCTACGTCAAGGACAATGACATGTTCGGCGCCGACCTCATCGGAACCGCCTCCGTCTCCGCCAAGAGGATCCTCTCCGGCGAAGCCATCAGCGACTGGTTTCCGATCATCGGCTCCTTCGGGAAGCCGCCGAAGCCTGACTGCGCCGTGCGCCTGGCGATGAAATTCACGCGGTTCGAGGACAATCCCTTGTACCGGTCCGGTCCCAAAATGGATCCGGACCGGTTCGTGGTTCGGGATTCTTATTTCCCGGTTCGGCACGGAGGGGCGGTTACGCTGTATCAGGACGCGCACGTGCCTGATGGGATGTTGCCCGATGTTGAGTTGGATGATGGGATCGTGTTTGAGCATGGCAAGTGTTGGGAAGATATATGCCACGCTATTTTGGAAGCACATCATTTGGTTTATATTGTGGGTTGGTCCATCTTCCACAAGGTTAAGCTCGTCAGAGAGCCTACTAAACCCTTACCTAGCGGTGGCAATTTGAATTTGGGAGACTTGCTCAAGTACAAGTCTGAAGAAGGTTTGCGAGTTTTACTTTTGGTTTGGGATGATAAGACTTCGCACAGCAAATTTTTCATTAACACGGTATTTTTCTTTATTTTCCAACTATATCTCTTTATATGCTTCCTTGCTAATTTACTATTTTATATAATATAATATAATATTCACCATGTGCATCATTCAGATTTACTTCATTTAGTAATTTTTTTACTTGCAAGTTGCTTGAAACAGACATATATTATATAGATTTACTTTGTTTGCCATTTGCCGATTGTTGAGTTTTTATTTTTGGAACCTTACAACTTAGTAATTTCGGTTGCAGACTGGAGTAATGCAAACGCATGATGAAGAAACTCGAAAGTTTTTCAAGCATTCTACAGTTAGATGTTTGCTGTCACCAAGATATGCCAGCAGTAAGCTTAGCATTTTCAGGCAGCAGGCATGCTTTATGCTATGGTTTAGTTGCTTTCCCAGATTTTGTCATTTTTCTGTTAGAAAGTTCTTGATACTTAATCATGCTTGCTTTCCATCCTTTCAGAATATCACTAATTTTAATATATGCAAAGGAGGGTGGATCCCAACGAGATTTTTACATGACAATATAATATGAACTTTTTTGTGCCTTCTTCTTCATAGACATTAAATAGTGGAGGCCCGGCCCATCAAAATCTATAAATGTCTATGAAGACTGAAATGGACACAAAATTTTGACAAGACAACAAAATCATGTGAAAATGTAACATGAAGTTCATTCCATGATAAATTCCTTCCCCGAACTTTACATTGATGTGTTACCAGGGACGGAGGCAGATTGAAAGAGTTGGGGAGCCAATTTTCAAAATTAATTAAAAAAATATTTATAACTGTGTATTTTTAAATAATCTAGGAATATATGATAGAAAATATATTTACCATAAAAAAACAAACATAATTTTTTAGAGACTCAATATTATAAATATTGATCATTAGTTCCACATATTACTTAGAACTTAAAAAAAATAATAAAAATGGATACTTATGCTAATTTTTTAATGAAAAAAGTTCAATTAATTATGTCATAAATATATACTAAATTAGAATAAATATGTTACTTATGTAGGTTTTCAATCCTTTTTATTGAGTTCCTAAGTTTGGATCATTCACAGATGTTAATAAATATCTTTTATTCACTTAATCAATATAAAAATAATATTAATAAAGTCATTTGGTTACAAATACAATTATCTATAACTTTAAAATAACAATATCAAATTATAAAATAAAAATACTATTAAAACAATATAAATGATACTAATATAATTATAAAAAAAAAACAAAAATACCTTTGTCTCTGCAATAAAGAATATAAAATATTTTATCAAAAAGTATAAAAAAAATACTTAAATATATTTTTTACACATAAATATAAAATAAAATTAATTAATGAATATACATATAAAAAATTTGTAATTGACAAAAAAAAAAGTTAAGGGGCCAAATCCTCCGTCCCTGTGTGTTACTGAATTAGTGGGCACTCGTTCTTATTTGTATTGCCCACAAACCTATATACATGGCATATGTGAACTGTTAATTTAACAGATGAGCTATAAAGAAAATAATTTAAAAAATGTTAATTCAACAATTAAAAAAAATGATATTTTTGAATCCCCCAGGGATTGGTTTGCTAAAAATAGATTTTTTTTTCTTCAAAAAATTGAAAAACATGTTGACTATATTACTTGGTGCCAAACTTCAGGTTGTTGGAACACTCTTTACACATCATCAGAAATGTGTGATAGTTGATACTCAAGCAAATGGCAATAATCGGAAGATAACTGCATTTATTGGTGGTCTAGATCTTTGTGATGGCCGGTATGATACACCCGAGCACAGAATTTTACGTGATATTGACACTGTGTATCAGAACGATTATCATAATCCTACATTTTCTGTAAGTTCATAATTTCTCAGGATACCTTACATTACTTATAAGCCGTTTCGTTCAATGAGGCTAATTATTGACCTAGTATTTTTCTTTTGGTCTATAAGTTGATAGTGACTTCTTGGTTTGAAGTATTAATATTCATACGGACATTGTTCTATATTTTAACTGTTTACATGTTAAAAGTAGTCACAAAAAACTCTCATGCCATCCTTCCACTCATTTAGCAGGTTAGGCAATTTGGCATGTTATAAATACATTATTGTTATTGGCACTGTGCATGTAATAGTAACTTCGTAAATTAACATGAAATTTTGTCCGAGGTTTTGTTTGATACCAAGTTTGAGATTCCCAGTGTACTCTTACCAACTGAAATTTGTCTCTTTCC